GACTTCTACTGTATATTGATATTGTACTGGTATGCAAAAGCAATGAGTGTAAATACAAGGTAGACATTACTGTAGATGTTTATGATTTTTCACTTTTTCGGAAATACATTTAAAGATTTTCTCTTTCTAGAAAATGAAGTACTAAAGATCCTGGTTCTTTGCAAAGCAGAAAAAAAGATATTTATAGAATTCTGGCAACTCCAAAAGTTAAAGTATCTGTCTTAATATGACTTATTTTATTAAATCAAATTAAAGGGGGTGTTATTTTTAAAGGAACTTACTTTCATTTCACAACATACAATAATCAAGAGCAAAAAAGGGCCTTAATTTAATTGCATGCTATAAAACACCAGAACAATTATTCCCATGGCATGAATTTACAGTGTTTAAAACATTTTCTTTGTTTAATTTAACATTCCTTATGACAGTAAATCCTGTTAGAGTTAAAAAAAACTATAAATGAGAGATGGTACAGCTTATAATTTGCTTCAATTGGATCACGATTAATGTCAAAAGTCTTCTTGTTTCATCCTCTTTTACATTATATGTGTAATTAACAATGGAAAATGTCAGTTCTTCTTTACTACTGTGTAGGTTTAATGTTCTAAGTTTTTTTAGAATAGTTTCTGTCTAGTATAGAAACTGAATAAAATTTGTAAGAAACATTATGGCATTTATCTTTTTTTCTATTCAGGATTTAAGGACAAGAGAGTATTCTCAGGTAGAATGGATGAAGAGATGATAAGACACACCTGTAAACATGCTGGAATTTTTAAACAGACAAAGGATTAATTTATTGTATTCTTAACACATTCAAATTGTGCCAACTTGAACCTGAAACTTGGTCTTGTCAGTCCTCAGCTACTAAATATGACTGGGCCTGGTGAGTACTTCAGTCCTCTGGGGAAAATTAGAATTTTGCCATATGACATGTTATCATTTGATAAGCACTAATGACTGCTAGTGGTCATTTAAAACCCTGAAAAATTCAGATATAAGCAGCAGTCTGGCTACATTTAAATATATATCATTGTGCTGTTTGAACATAAATAAATATAAATTTGCATAAATAGAAAAAGAGAAGACCATTATGTCCTTCTAGCTCATTTGGTAGCTAATAGGTAACCAATATCATCCAGTTATTTATTAAAAGATCCCAGAGTATCACCTTTGACTTTTTTTAAATTTTCATTGTGAAAATTGAATAAAATAAGTACCTTGTGTTTTAAATTTTATTCTCCTCCCCATTTCTACCATTAGTGTCTGAAAACATCCACTATGCTGACTTTGGCAATGCCTTTTTGCATTTTGAATATTTGAATATATTCCTCTCTCAAGTTCTTTTTGCCACCCAGATTAGGAACATATCTGGTCGCTCTTCTTTGAACTAAGTAGAAATATCTTTTAATTACACGGTTACAAAAATTGTAAACAATATTCTAAAGGTTTTTCTAGTGCCTTCTACAATTTAAAAAAATAGTTGCTTGATTTTAGCTGTATATTATTAATTATAAATCCTAACAGTTTGCCTTTTATTGCTTCCTCATATTTTCTAGAACAGTGGGTCTCATCCATGGTCCTGAGTGACCACTGTGTCATTCCAACTCTGCCCTTAATCACTGGTGTTAATTGATGCATGTAATTACTCTTCCTGCTTGTTAACCTTTTTTCTGTACTTAGTCCTTGCTTTGAAAATCTAAAGTACATTCTTCTCAACACCTATAGCATGCAGTCCTTCCTATTGCATTTTAAAATTTGCTCACTTATTTCTGACAAATACGACACAGGTGGGAATGTACTGTAAAAGGATCAAATAACACACATCAGACAACATACATTTCAATTGTTGATATCACTTACATACAAACAACTTCTAAGAGCTGAAAGAAAATTTCTATGTATACTGTCACGACCAGCCCCCAAGAGAGCTAACCAGTGTCAGCAGCGGGGCGATAATTACAAGTGCTGCTGCACGTGTTAACTCAGCACCAGACGCCCTACCATGCGGCAGGCTGCAGTATTTAAGCCGTTCAAACCCGCTTCTGGCTGTTCGGTATTGAGTCTACTCTTTGAGAGCTCTGCCTGGCGTTTATTCTGTACCTTGCATTCTTCTGGATTCTAGACTTCCTTTTGCCTTTCGACTTTGGACCTTGCCACTCGTTTCGGATTGTTTGCCATTATTTTTACGTCCTGGATTTTGAACCACCTTTCTCCTTTTGACCACAAACTCGCCTGATGTACTGGATTGTTTGCCTGCCTCGTCACCTACCTACTCCTGCGTCTGCACAGGATCCACATATCTCTTCAGTGGAGATTCGTTACATATACTGTACCTATATTAGAAAATTAAAATCATTTTGCTTTTGAATAAAAACTTAGCTGAAGCACATAAACAAAATAATCAGATATTTGCTGGGATCTAGGTTGAGAACCATTGATTTAGAAAATGAAAATGATGTCAGGTTAAAAACCTAAGTCTTTTTCATAAGTAGTATTCCCATTTAAGCTTGGTTAAGTATCTTAGATTGGAATTTTTATTATCATATAAAACCAGAGTGTACCCCACCTTGTGCCTTTTGCTGGATAGGCCGGTTAGAAAATGGGTGGACGTTTCTGCTACCTGCATGTAACACATTATACTTGCCTACGTTATATATTATCTGCATCATCTGAACTTATTATAGTAAACCAAAAACAAACAAACAAAAAAATTGTACTATCATATCAGGGAGATAAAGAACAGACCAATTCAGAATATTAGTTTAATATTCAAAAATAAGTACAGGTAGTGTATATAACTGTACCCATTGTACCCATCAAAACATTTTGTGATAATAATGTTATATGTTAACAAAATTATAGGATTACGGGGCTTGATTGTTGACTCATTAATTAAATGCTCCTAAAAAAAGTTATCATTCCGTTTGGCTAGATTTGTGGCTCTGAAGAAAGAAAGAAACATGAAGGCTAATGTCAGTAGCTAACGTTTTATTAAACAATTTATTAAATGTATGTATTAAATAAATATAATATATTCTGCCAGATATAATATTGATCTTATAAGATCAATATATTATTATAACATTCTAAAACGTTCCATTGTAATTGCAATAGCATTGCACAGAGCAAAACCATGTTTGTTATAAGTTAAATAATAAAGTGAAATCCAGATAACATGAGGGTCACATTGTGCAAGTATATAATCTATTTAGTTTTCAGTGGGGAGATGTGTCATTGTGCAAGTTACAAAGGAACAAGTAGAGGTTAATTCAACACTGAAAAATAGAAAAAAATGTTTTGATTTTATTTTCTCAGGTGCTGAATATGAAGAAGTCTGAAGAAACTATGGAAGATTCCACAACCAAAAGGCTTTTCCCTCTTCTTCTTTCAAGAAATAAACACTTTGTACCTATTAGTAGAAATACTACAGTATTTATAAAACATTTCTTAAAAGGATAGTGATGCAAATTGAATACAAAAATAGTTAAACATAAACAAAAACATGATTAAATAGAATTAAAACCATGATTAAAATTAAAATTGGCAGTTTGCCAAAACATCAACTCTTTCCATCATCTACAGGTACTGTAGGTTGCATCATATTTTATAAGAATTGCAGAATCAAAACTGCAGGTTGAGTGAGATTAAGATCTTAGTTGGTCAAAATCAAAACAAGATGCTTATGTCACTACTGATCCTGTTAAGAAATATAATTTTCAACACTCTCTGTAAGTGTCTGTGTCAGAAATCTCAAGACCTTCCATAATAGATCACAAACTGTGAATTAACAACTTCACTCTTTAACCTTGTGTATTAAAACTAGTACTATTAGCATTGCTGTATTATAATGCAACTAATTTGGGCTGCTGCCACCTAATATATTACTTTTCCAGAAACCCAATTTCTATATGTATCATATCCTTAAAGAAAAATTCAATATGTGTAATAAAAAATAGTGAAATGGGCAATGCTCTAAGTTTACAAAACACCTCAGAGCACTTCATAATATAACAAAGCTTAATAGGTACTGAAAAGCTGATGTGACACTAACTCAATATTTCTATGCTCCCTTTGAGTTTATAGACTATTAACATACAGTACAACAATGGGCTTAGATTGAGTATTATTTTCTCAGTTAATTTATTGGGCTTTTTTCAGACACAATTGTGACACACTTGGGTAAGTATTTGATAGCTATGTACTAAAATATGGCCCAGATCATGAAAAGCAACAGGAAACAAGTTAGCAGCCCAGAGCCATGGAATATCCTTCACAACTTTTTCATGTTGCAGGAGCCATTAGTTTTACTTGCCTGAATCACAAAAGACACAACAGCAGCAATGCTTACAGTGAACCCTCAGGTTACCTTGTCTAGTCAAATAATGAGAAAAGTAACACATATACAGGTGCTTAAGGGGCACTTATCAAACTTCTTTTAGAAGATGAAAAGTAGAGTACTTACTTGTACTGATAAGAAATGAATGTTAATATGTGTGTGTGTACTGAGAGCTCATGCACAGCCTGGCTGTCACCTTGTTGAATCAGATAAAATACTCTTTAAAGTTAAATCATCACCATTAACACTAAGATGACAAAGAAATAAAATACCTATTGACCTCCAGAAACATGGACACTTTCCAAGAATAGCTTATTAATCCATTATTTTTAAACTTGTTGCATGTCTCAAATAAATATTAAGTTGAAATATACAAAATGAAAGCAGAAATATTTTCAGAGTTTTTGCAATGAATCTGTTTCTATTTAAAAGATAAAAGCAAGTGTTGTTCCTTTGCAGCCTGCACATGCTGACACAGTTACTATAAAATGTTGTTTTTACAACATCTAGTTTTTGAAAGGCAGCAAATTGTTCAAGTGTCAATGTATTTAAAAGTTGAAATAATAATAACAATATAAAACTTTTAACTTAACTAAACAAAGCTCTTAGAGAACCCCCAAAACAATACAAATTTGTTTTATTTTCCATGCAACATGCTTCATACCTGAGGGCACAGAGTCTCAATTCGGCTTGCAGCCATCTGAACAATCCTGACCCCATCGTCGTTTGTCGAAATGGAGCTGGCAAGGTTAGCTACCTAAAAACAACAATCAAGAAGCAGATAGTTGAAGCACAAAGCAATCCCTTTTAAAAATCAATAACCGGATATCTGCTGTAGAGTATATCAATAAACTTAAGAAATAATCATTTGGTATAACTAAATGAATATCATCAGGTAATGCTTCTTAGTCTTTAGATGGGAAAGACTTGATTTCCCATCCACAAAATGAAGTAGTTGTTGTAGAATAGTTGTTTATATTTACTGCTTATGAAATCTGAGTACCTCTGCTGTGTTATAAATCATTATACTTTAGTAGATACAATCCATGTTCTTAGTCTAGATCACAACCATTAAGAAAGACAAAATTACAGTATTTTTCCATTCTTTTTCATTGCTTTGTATTACAAAATTGTTTCATTAAACTCTGAACTCAATTAAACAGAACAAAACAAAAATGAAATTTAATACTGAACAATTAATAAAACAATTCAAATAATTGTATATACTGTATATAATATTGTTACAGCTTTAGGTGACTGAAAACTGTCTCTTAGAGTTTAGATAAAGTTTGTGACACTTAGAAGGGTAAACATTTCTAACTTCAAAGCAGAGAGGATATTTGCTGAGGTCTTCGGGATCCCTTGAGCAGAACAAATTGTAAAGTTTACCTTAGTATACCTACAGTATGTAAGTTGTTGATTAATGATTGTTACAGAGCAGTACAGACACACTTACAATATAAGATCACATTAATAGCACAAAAAGAGGAAGAACCAAGGGAAGCAGGGAGAAGAGAGAGGAGTCCAGAGGAGTTGGGATGTGAAGCTTGTGCCAGTCAAGAGCCCCTACTTCATGATTATCCAAATCAAACCTGACGGGAGCTAAGTATTTGAACCTTGTTAGAAGGAGAACATACTATTCTGTGTTTTTAGGGTACTTGGTTTTCCTGGGTAAAAGATACCTTGGTTAAAGATGCCTTTCCTGCTTGTGGGTGTATTTTTTAATTTATTTTGTGGCATCCTGGGTCCAGAGAGAGAGATTCAACTGCAGGTTGTATAACATTTATTTAGAAGGCAGCTTATCTCTTATTTGGCCTCTGTAGGCAGTATTTAAGAGTTTTTTATTTAAGGTCTGGTTAATTAGAATGTTCGGCCTCTGAACTGTCTTGTTTGTAAATACTATACATAAAGTAACCTGTGTGTTGTATGTTGCCTGTAGTGTAGTTTGTGTTATGTCATTGTAATAAATATTTGTTTAACCAAGTGTGCCTGGATTGTTACTTTCAACAAAGCTGTGCCAGAGAACAAAGAATTAATGTGCCTCTATACCAGCCGCTCCGGTATATTGCTAGAAAATACTTATAAGTTTGGTGTTATAAATAAGTATTTCACTTATTGACTAAACTGCTTGGTCAAATCCTGATTTTCACCGTTTTCATAATACTCATTTGTAACAATATCTAAAATATTGTTTGATGAAGCAGCTTACCTTGACATTAAACAAAAAAATTCTCATTTACTCTTTCTACTTACAAAGCTTGAAAAATACTAATCTTATTACTGAAATATGCACACTACCGCAAGATAAGTTTTTGTCTCTAATTTATTGACCTTTGGTAAGAAAATGCCATCAGGATCAGTGTAACAGATTTACAAATCCACTGATCCTATTAAGATAAGACTTTTATTCCAAATATCAAATACTTCAACATCACCATTGCAACTGTTGCACAATATAGTTGCACTTTTTATTACGTTTATAAAGTTCATTTGAAGAATCATGACTGGATATTTGTGTCACTAAAGGACAATAACGCACCAAAATGGTGCTTAATTTTTAAAACAAAAATAAACAAGGTTGATCTTTGTGGTACATGAGCAAATTTGAAAGCTTCCAAATAAGAAAAAGACATTTGTAGGTTTGAGTTAATTTGGTTCTTTTGTAGTTAATTTTAGTTAATTTTAGATATGCTTTTGTCCGGTCACTTTTGAAAGGAATGCAGATTTGAGCCTCAACCTTCATTCCAGTCTCTCATTACGTTATGTGTAAAGTGTTTTCTCCTTGTTAAATAAATTGTCTTTTAAATTTTGTCTTTGTTTAACTGCTGAATCTGCAGTATTCTGTTGGATTGACCCTTAAAATGTTATATATTTTGATCAAATCTTTTCTGTAGAATTAAGACAAAAGTAGTCAATGTCTTAAATGTTATTTTAACTTTCTATTATATACTGCATAGTACTAAAGCATTTTAGGTATTATAATTATTCTCCTGCATTGTCTTGACGGGAACATAGAAGAATTCCCTTTCATGAATAGCCTTCTGTAACTCAGAATCATCAATTTTATGTGTATGGTGTTCTAAGACATTTTATAAGTCCATTGCTGGAGCTATTTTTGCCACTTCAATTATTTTTATTAACTGCAAAATTAACTGGTTTGCTAACTACAGCAAAATCTAAAATCTTTGGTATAGATCAGGAAGAGCAATGTTCTGGCTTTAAAAGGGGTTCCTGTACACTACTGCTTACTTCTGCAAAAAAAAATGGGAAAGTGCCAAACTGAGAAAAAAAAAGTCTGTACCATCAAGTTTAAAGAGAACAAAATCAGCAACAATGCTAAACAGATTCCTGAAAAAAATAATTAATAAGGTATGTTGTACTCATACTCGGATGGATCGAAATAATCATTATACTTTACTTTAAAATAGTATAGGTTACTCTATGTTTTTATTATTATTTGCTGCTGTATTTACTACGGCTGAGTAGCAACTATCTTTTAATGTAGTTCTGTATTTTTCATAAATCACATTATTAAATGAATAAAACAAAGGGCATATGCTGTGACTAACCTATGTCAAGTTCAATCACAGTCTAGTTTAGATTACATTTTCCAGCGTATCGGGGGCAATCATCATCTCTGCAGAAAATTAAATCTTGCATACAGACATGACCACAAGCCAAAGAAAGACAAGCCTAAGGAGACAGAGCTCCCAATTAAATATCTAATTTAAAAAAAGGATAAAGTACCAAGTGTCAAAAAATAAATCTATTAATAAGTGATAATGATGCCACATGAAGCCAAGAGGCTGCAAATCATTATTGTTTTTAATGAAATGTGGCTCAAGACATTTTGCCAACACTGTGAGTCGTTAAAACTGTAAAATTATGATCTAGACTCATTTTGTGATTATACTGCATTACAACAGTCCTACTTAATATGAATTTACCAAGTGGTAAATTAAGGTCCTGCAGTTATAAAACTTACAGCATGACCGTGATAGCTGATTGAATAGACAAGGGTTGATTTTATTTTTCATCTCTGAGATTTTCATACAAATGAAAGAAGGCCATTCTGCCCATCTGACTCCTCTGGTTGCAATTAACAAAAGACAATTCCCCTTTAATTTCCTTTTTTATCCTCTAGTTTACATTTCACTGTTGATTCTGGTCCATTGTGTTCACAGGTCCCCTTGTAGTGTTTTCTGTATCAGTCTCTGTTTACTTTTCTGTGGCAAATTTCAGCAAACAAAACTATTTTTAATGCCTTTACCAAAATTATAGAAAATATTCTAAAATAGGATTTATGCATTGTAAAATTATAAGATTTAAATGTGTGAACATAAAATACATGTCTTTTTTATATAGCCTCTTTTTTATGTAGGCTCAGCATTTTCCATATTATAGTTGCTACTGTCTGCATGTTATAATCTACACTTAATTTACATTAATTACATTAATGTAAATTAAAATTAAAGTTTTCCCTATTTTGAATTATAAGTCTTCTTGCATATCTTTTGCAACTTGGAAAGTGTCTGTTTTCCCACTGGTTTTGATATGGTTTAAACTTTGCTAGTTTATTTACTGCAGCCATTGATATTCCATTGATATTAATGAAGAAAAAAGATACTAGTACAGATCCTGTGGTACTACTAATTACATCATCCCAGCTGAATATTGACTTATCTGAACTGTTTTTTTTTTATCAATTCTAAATACTAACACAAAACCAATTTTATTGCACATTGAATTATTTTATAGGCATTTCTTTTCTATTATATTTAATTTTTTCAGAAAGATTGTATTACTGCATTTTCTGTGGAAAAGAAATATCAAGTAGTACTAACATACAGTGCATTTCTCTAGGACAATTTCAAACATCATTAATTCTTATGCCAAGCACCACAAGTTGCACATCTCTCAGAGACTCTCTCAAACTACCTCTATTTAGATATTCAGGTTAAGAACATCACCATTCCTTAGGCACCCAATGATTACGGTTAGGAGCAGTGACAGAGAAAGTTATTAATGTTTAATGTGAAGAGAGTGATGCAATATAGAACATACAAGTGTTGTCAAAGAATTGGGTACAGGGTAAGAGTGACGTCTGAGAATGTCACAGCATAGTTCATGCTTTGATTTTGCAACTATTTAAAACTGTCAGTTGAAAAGCATTTGTACCTCAACCTAATACACCAGCTGCTGAAAAGATGTTATTTTTTTATATTTAATATTATAGATTTTCTGACTGTTAAGCAATAGAGGAGAAAGGAAATTCTGCTATGGCTATGGAGTTCCTGTTATTCACCCAAAACAGGAAAATATTGATTTCTGTTTTTTTTTTTTAATGCACAAAACCTCAAAACAGAACTGAATATAGGGAATATAATAGTTTATCCATCCATTTAATAACTGTTTTATGCAATACATGCTTGTGGGCGAGCTGTAGCCTACTGTATCTCAGTAAATAAGAAGTGCAAAGCAGGATACACCCTGTACTGGATGTCTGTCCATCGTGGCACACACAGACACACACACACAAGCCAGGGCCAGTTTTCCCAGAAGCCACTTTACCTACCAGTATGTCTTTGACCTCTGTGTGGAAACCAAAGCACCCTGGAGAAACCCTATGTGAACATGGGACAACACACAAACTCCATGCAGATACTGTGGCACCCCAGGAACTGAACCCAGCACCCCAATGCTAAAAGGCAGCAATGCTAACCACAATGACACAAATATAGTTTTATATGAAATAAA